AAACCAAAAAAACAAAAACAGTTCTTGCAGAAAGAATGGACAATTTGAGAATAATTTTATTCCTGCTGATGCAACCACTAGGGATATGAATCCTGATGAAATTTCTCAAAATGAAAAAGTTTTATGTTGTGATTCTCAGTACTACAGAAGCAAAGGACTAAGTATGCCACCTTCAGAGGGAAGACTTGCTATTGGACATATGCCACCTGCCAAAGGGAGGTGCCAATCAGCACATTACAGAAGAGCAATATGATGATCCTGATGTTTATTACACTGAGTCAGATCACGTGACACTGAAGCACAACAAATATGTGTGAGAATGGTAACCGTGAATTCTGCTTTATTATTCCCCACATCTGCTCTGTCTATTCATAAAAGTCTGGTCATAGTATTTGTACTTTTGGGTTTCACATAATGATTTGTTTCGACTCTTTAAAAAAAAAAAAGAACTCCAATAAAAAGAAAGACTTCAAAACTCAACTTTATTACTCCTCCCTAAGATACTACGCATTCTGTAGTCTGGTAGGTTAGATGTCTCAGAAAAGACATGTAGGAACATGCATGCTAGTGTTTTTGGTTTTGCCTAAGTTTAGGAAGTAACACAATACACTTTGGTCAATGGTTGTAGAGTTTTATGTAATGTCTCTGTCTTCTAGGTAATGTAGAACCAATAATGAACCTGTAGATGTCATCTAGATATAGGAAACCCGGCAGGCTAGAAATGTACTTTCATCTTAGTTATTTAACATTCAACTCCCTATTAAATTTTTTATTTTAAAAAACTATAATAAAAGACACAGTGCTATTAACACCCCTCAAAATACCTCACTTCAAACACACTTATCCCGTTTGTATTGCCACTTGATGAAGCACTTCTGGAAGTACTCTTTCATGAATGTCTTTGCTACTGCAGGTGTGCTTTCAAAAAATAATAATAAATTCAGTGACTATTGCTACACAGTGACATCCACAGAAAAGGTATCTATAGACTGCTCAAGTTCAAAATTAACAGGGAGGTGGGAAGATACTGTGTTAGGACTTTAGACATCTTGGCTCCCAGTTGTTGCTGACAAGGGTAGTGAAAGATTACCTAGTATTTTGGAACCTGTTCCACTTTCAGCAAAAGAGAGCTTATAACCCTTGTCCACAGGAGTGTTTGGATAGCCAATGGAGTTCATACAAATATCGAAAGCGCCACAGATACTGTTTTAACAGCAGGGAAAAAGAAGCCAATAGTCAAAGTGACTTGAAAATGCCACACCACCACTAGTTGACAAGCTAAGACAGAACTCTTGAGTTTTTAAAGTACTGACCCTTTTCCATGTCACTTGTCTCATTGATAAGTGTCTGTCCTAGGAACTTTGCACATTTTCATTCAGCATTACTTGCAAGTCAAGCTAGATTCTCTCTGAGAATATAGCCATTCTCAATTCATAGTTACAACTCAAAATGCATGTTTCCCAATTTAAAGATGGTAGTACTTTAAAACTGGAAAAACTCTCCCTCGTCATTTGGATCAATCTTTTACGTAAGTAATTTATCTGTTCTACTTCACTGAGATGTATGTTTTAGGCAAAGTACTCATAATCCCGTATATGGCTAATAAAATCAGTGTTTTGCCAAACGGGAGTTAGTAACACTGAAACTGCAGCGTGTACAAAATCGGATTGCTTTGTAATTCAAAAAGCTTTGCTGGTCAGACAAGGGCCAAGCACAGGAGGAACAGAAGTTGGATGGGAGGAAAAGGAGGGGGTGCCTCGGTGGAGGCACCTTGGGTGCTGCCACTAATCCTTGGACCTGGCACTTTAGAAGCTCTCCAGACTTTAGCTCCCCAGGGTGTGGAAACGGGGTGACGACAGCAGTACAGCACTCGGGGTGTTCCCCTCACCCGGATGCTGTGAAACTGTTAGGCGGGACAGCGGCGGCGCTCGGGACTGCAGTTTGGGAGCACAGAGCGTCCTAGGCTGTGCGCACCAGAGCAGGGCTCAGCCCGTCCGCCTCCACTCTACTTCTCTCGACGCAGCCCCCGGAGTCGGGATGGGGCCGGCGCAGTCACTCACCGGGCCAGTAGCTCTAGGAAGATCACGTTACTGCAGCAGCCTGCGAACACCAGGCCCACCGCCAAGGCTGGGCGCATGGCTGGGGCAGTGGACGAGGAGCGCGCGTGCGAGCGAAGCACCCGCTTCCACCGCTACCCCAGGAGGCCTGAACCGCACATCGCCCCAGTTCCGGAGCGCTCTCTCCCGTAGGACCGCCGCGTTTCTCCCTTCCCCTACGGCCGCCACGGACGCTGCTAGCGGAGGAACTGTAGTTCCCAGTCAGACGAGGCCCCATTCATCCGAGGGGGCGTCCCCGTCCCGGATGGACTACACATCCCAGCATGCCGCGCACTCATAGGTCTGGCGCAGACTTGGCCCGCCTTCGCCAAGGTTTCGGACTGAGTAGGTGAAGATCCTGAAAACATCGCGAGATCAGCGGCCGCGCGGCCTGCCGGGAAGTGAAGTTCCCAGACTGTTTCTAGAGCTGGCCTGAAGAACTCATTCTTGACTACCAGAACAAACTGCTGGCTGGCACAGTAGAAGTATAAACCCGTGAAGATTCGTTAGAGATGTTCTAGTACCGGGAACAATTATTCCAAACCCAGTGAACCTAGTAATTCGTCTAAGTATCTCTAGAAAAACGTAGTGAATCTAGAAGTACAGAGGCTGAACCATTTGGCCTTTTCAGAGCTGTTCTTTAAGAAAAAGACTTAGATTCAGTCTCACCGTAAGTAAAGATGGGAGAGAGTTGTAATGTCTACCTTACCTGGTGGATGACGGTTTAAAGATATGGTTTATGAAAGCCTAACATAACAAGTATGTTATTTTATGTTACAATTTTTGGCAAGGCACTCAACAAACGAATTGACTCATATCCACTCTAGGATAAGGACCTTCTCTACTTCATTACTGACAGGCTCATGATGCTTGTCCCTACACCCTTTTTAAGGGAACAGTTCACAAATTATAGTTCCATTGTAATTCCTGTGGTGAATGTTAAAATACAGGTTTCTAAATCTCACACACAAAGTTTCAGACTCAATATGTTTGAAGTGGGACCCAGTAATCTTCCTTTACAACAGGTACTCCCAGATAATCTTGATGTGGTCTGCAGACCACAACTTGGGAAAACCAATTTTGAGGCATGTTGTGAATCTTGAGGACAGCCTCAGACTGTTCATTCTCTCAAAAATAACCCAAACAATAAGCATTTGAAAACCCTACTTAATTAATCCCCAGTTCCACACACACAAAAAAAGATTAGAAAACTCTACTTAACTTTCCATCATGTGTTTTGTTATTGTATTCCATCAGAATTTAAATGTATAATATGGTAAGTGGCTAGGCAATAATACAAACATACACTAGGCATTGGAAAAATTATAAATATATTTATTGCTTCCATCAAAAAATGAGTCATATACGGTGGACAAGGTATGAACAAATACTTGACAAAAAATAGTGTAGTACTAGCCTATCATATATAGTAAGTGCTATGTGATTAAAACGTTTGAGAACTGGGGAGATAGCTCAGCAATCTAAGTGCCTGCCTGGGTTCAATTTGCACCATGCCAGCCACCCAAACCAGCAATGGTGGTGCACGCCTATAATCCCAGTGCTAGAGAGGCTGAGACAGGAGGACCACTATGAGTCCAAGCTGCATAGCAAGACCCTTTACTAAATAAATAAAAGATTAACATATTTTAAAAGTAAAAGAAATAATTATGAATAGCTGATATTGTAAATGTTATAGGAATTTAGTTGGAAAGACAATGGAATGTGCCTCCTTTTCATCATTAAATATCTCATTGCTGATAAAGGCATTTTTGACAGAAGCACCCAAACATTAATAGTTCTCAAAGTGTCCCAAATGATCTGGCTCTGCAGCTAAAGTTGAAACTACTGAAATAAAAGCAAGCAAAATCTTAAGAAGTTGTGACTAGAGAAAGTGTCAGTAGGTTATGATTAAGGCTGTACCTCAGTATGCTTAACTAAAAATCATTAAGGGTGAGGTATCAATTATCCTTCAATTTCCCCTCATTGCTGTAATGTGCGGTCAGGGTTGAGAACACCCCTTTAATGGTGCTTTGGCGTTTAACTCCCAGTCATCTTTGATCCTGGCTGTATAATAGGCACACAGGGGGCTTTTAAAAACACAATTTATTTAAAAAGCATATCAGTCCCACTTCAAACTAAATAAAGTAGAATACTTGAAAACAAACTCAAGCAATGACAATACTCCACCAAAGGCAATCCTGCCTAGAGGAAACATGAGCAGAGCACCTTTTCTGCAGTTTCACTAAAAACAATTTCTCATTACACAACCTCTATTTTCTGTGTGTTCCAAGAGTTTGAGCGCGCTTAATGAATGTTATAAACATCTCATTAAATATCAGCTGAAATACACCTGAGTAATTGAAAAATGAAATGGCCTAAATACTGTAATGACTGTATGCTATGTACCTTCTTTCTTCTTCCATGTTTTTTTAATCTATCCCTATCATATACATATATATATAACATGTATTAAATAATATGCATACAAATTATCTTGGATCTTGTTAAAAATTCAGATTTTACTCCACTGATTGGGCCTAAAGTGTGGCCTGACATTCTGTATTTCTTTTTTTTTTTTTTTTTTTTTTTTTTTTGGCAGAACCAGGAATTGAACTCAGGCCCTTATGCTTGCCAGGAAAATACTTATTCCACTGAGCCTTCTCCCTGACCCTGACATACTGTATTTCTAAAGAGCACTGTTGATGCTCCTAAGTAGTGGACCATACTTTGAAAACACAGAAACCTATAAACTAGTTCTCTCTGGAAACTTTTCCATCTTTTCACTCTTGTTGGTTCAGGGAATCTCACTCCCTGCTACTGTCTTTGTGCTCCTCCTTTCCCCTAGCCTATAGTCATGCTCAGAGAAACGAACACTTTCTCTGTCTTTTAAATATCTTTAAAGAACAATCTATATTTGTAGCTTGTTTTTAAACTCCAATCAACTTCTTAAACTACTCTGATCAAAGATTATTTTCATAAGAAAGCAGTCTCATGAGAGCCCAATGACTTTTTAATTGTCAAAGCCTTCTACCACAATCTCATCTTACATCATCTCTCAGTGCTTCACACATTTAAAGCCTCAGATTTCTTGATCTTCCTCTTGTCCCTCTGTGTCTAAGACATGAGTGTTCTGTTTCTCATCTTCTCTTTTCTGTTTTCTTTGTGAAAACTGAAAGTTCCTCTGATCCCCAAGTTCTCTCAGAGGTCCACTAGTTATACCTTCTTCTCATGACCCTGAACACTTTCCACTGGAGATTTCACCCCTGACCCCTCCCAGCACATGTGTAACTGTGAGCTTGTATATATATATATATATATATATATATATATATATGTATACATGTAGTTCCAATCTCCCTCATATCCTAAGTCACAGTTTCCAAGTCCTTTGACAGCTTTACTAATATTTCCCTGGAAACCCTTCACCATCAGCACAGCACATGTAATCCTCTGTGCTCCTTATATACTTTGCTTTTTATTATAATGTTATCCACCACCTCCTCTTGGGCAAAAACCTCAAAGATTTTCAGTTGTTCTCTCCTCACAATGCATTTATTTGCTCTTTTCATCTTGCCAGTTCCACTTCACAATTAGGTCTATATTCCAACTTCCTCTTTTCATTCATATTGATACCTGCTTACCCTCCTAGAAAGACATTCTAAAGTCTTGGAATCTTCAGCCTCTGCCTTCTTCCTCATTCTCCATGCTGCCTCCAGGCTGTTTCCTAAAACAATCCAAACTCTTTATATCACACAGCTTACTATTCCAAGACATGTGTTCCAGTTAGTCAATGTCATATTAAAAGACCCAAAATGTATCGGTTTCAAAGCAAAAATATTTGTTTGCTATCTTATAGTTCTGTGTTTACTTTGCTCAGCTCAACACTCAGGTGCTATTCTCCATATGGGTTTCTCATGTAGTTGTGGTCAGACATTGAAGGCTTACCTGGGCTGTTACTTGAGATCACTAGGACAGCTCCATGATCATCAGATATCCACAGTGTGACAAAATACTCGAGAATAAAAGTTTTAAGGAGGAAAGGCTTATTTTGGCTCATGGTTTCAGTCCAAGGTCAGTGGGCTCCATTGCTTTGGGCCCTGAGAAGAGGCAGAATATGTTGGCAGTGAGAGCAGGAAGCAAAGGAGCCTGCATATCTGAGAATAGCTCAGAAATATGGAGAGACAAAGGGGGGGGGGAGAGAGAGAGAGAGAGAGAGAGAGAGAGAGAGAGAGAGAGAGAGGAAGAAGGGAGAAGGGAGAGGCTTCTTTTTGTTGTTCTTCAGCTTTTTTATTTCCTGGTACCAAGGATTGAACTCAGAACCTTGCACTTGCCAGGCAGACACTTATGCCGCTAAGCTATATCCCCAGCCCCTTTTTTGTTGTTCTTGTTGGCTTGTTATTTCTTTGCAATACCACGGCCTTTTAACTGAGCTACGTATCCAGCTCTTGTAAAATTTTTCTTTCGATACATGGTCTCAATGAGTTGTTGTTACCCAAGCTGGGTTCAAACCTATATTCCTTCTGTCTCAGCCTTACTGAAGTGCTGGAATTACAAGCATGAGCTACCACACTTGGCAAGAACATTAATCAAATTTCCCAATTTATAGGGCTGATTAATTAAAAAAAATTTTAATGTATTTAGTACAGGGTCTATAGGGTCTCCCTACATAGATCAGACTTGTAGTGATTCTCCTATTTTCAGCCTCCCAAGCACTGGGATTACAGGCGCACACCACCACACCCAGTCTCAATTGCCCTCTCAGTGTGCCTCGGGGGGAAGGGCCAGCACGGCACTCTGGGGATTGAACCCTGTTCCCTGCTCCCTGAGCTCTGCCTAAGCAGGTGCTTTAGTCCACTGAGCTATTTGACCAGCCCCCTTCCAATTTATAGGAATAAGAGGAGCAGCTACTACCAAAGACTTAAGGTAGACTATCCAAGGAAGGAAAAAGTGGGCCTTTTTTTTGAAAGTGGGCCTTTTCTCCATCTTCCTCAAAATGAGAACTAAGCCTTATTAAAGGAAGTATAGCTGCATCCCTTTGGCTAGCAGAATAGTTCAACAAGCTTCTGATAAGATTAGCTAGAAGCTGCCGTCTGGGCTCCAGCTAGGGCATGGGCCAATTCTAGGAAGGTGCCGGTGAGAGTTATGTATTTGCTACTGACCTGGCTGGGACCCTGGCAAAACTTTCTGAAGTCTACCTATAAAAGCACTACTGAGCTCACTAGGGTGAAAGCCTAAAGTTATCTCATGTGCTGAGTGAGT